ACAAGACAGCTATCACACATTCTTAACTCCCATTGCCGGACTCGCTGTGATGTCACAAGGCAGCTTTCACACATTCTTAACTCCCATTGGCTGACGTGCTGTGATGTCACAGTGCAGGCATCCCAGTCTTAACTCCTATTAGCTAGCTTACTGTGATGTCACAAGTCAGCTATCATATATTCCTAACTCCCATTGGCGGGCTCGCTGTGATGTCACAAGGCAGCTATCACACATTCTTAACTCCCATTGGCTGACTCGCTGTGATGTCACAGTGCAGGCATCACAGTCTTAACTCCCATTGGCTGACTCGCTGTGATGTCAGAATGCAGGCATCACATTCTTAACTCCCATTGGCTGACTCGCTGTGATGTCAGAATGCAGGCATCACATTCTTAACTCCCATTGGCTGACGTGCTGTGATGTCAAGGCATCACATATTCTAGGCTTCAAGCTTCAGAGGTTGACCAAACCTGCCTTATTTTGCTGGGTGTTAAGGTTGATTTGTCAAGATGGACAAAAGGTTTCAAGGTTAAAACATGTCACTAAACAAGGCAGGCCGTAACAACTTCCTGGATAGAAGCTTTTTCATAAAAATAACATTTTTCATAAAAATAATATTTTTCATAAAAATAACATTTTGCAAAACTTCTCTGCTTTCTGCCCTTTGTTAGATTGAACATGTCAAACACGGGGTGGACCAGAGGCTGCAAAATGGCCAGGAGAAACTCTTCCAGATGTGGCTGGTCTGGAGCCAGATGCATGCTGGGAACGGCGAGCAGGTGGATTCATCAGCACAGCCAGAGGTAGCTTTGCGATTCTTTCTCGCCTGTTTAGTTCCAGTTTCAATTCTTTTCTTTTTTATTATTATTTTTGCTGGGAACATCTGAGTTCGCACTCGACATGCTGCGACATGCTGAGCCGTGGTTTGTGAAGCACAGTGGCTAGAATTGCAGAAGAACAAGAGTGGGAAGGGGCCTTTGAGGTCATCTAGTCCAACCCCCAGGTCAGGCAGGAGACCCTGTACCATTTCAGACAAATGGCTGTCCAGTCTCTTCTTGAACATCTCCAGTGATGGAGCACCCACAACCTCTGGAGGCATAATTAATTGTCGGTTCCACTGATTAATTGTTGTAGCTGAATTTTTCTAACTGGTCATTAAAAGAAATGATCATATGTCAGGGGGAGGAAAGAGAAAGAGAAATCATGGTGGAGAAGGAGATGTGGTGGTGGTGGTGGAGGAGGAGGAGGAGGAGGAGAGGAAAGGAAGAGCAAGAAGAGGAGGAGAAGGAGGAGGAAGAGGAGGAGCCAGCCGTGTGCTCCAGCTGCCAAAAAAGCCAACACAGTGCTGGGCTGCATTAACAGAGGGAGAGAATCAAGATCACGTGAAGTGTTAATACCACTTTACAATGCCTTGGTAAGGCCACACTTGGAATACGGCATCCAGTTTTGGTCGCCACGATGTAAAAAATATGTTGCGACTCTGGAAAGAGTGCAGAGAAGAGCAACAAAGATGATTAGGGGACTGGAGGCCAAAGCATAGAAGGAAAGGCTGCTGGAATTGGGGATGTCTAGTTTAATGAAGAGAAGGACGAGGGGGGACATGATAGCAGCCTTCCAATATCTCAGGGGCTGCCCCAAAGAAGAGGGAGTCAAGCTATTCTCCAAAGCCCCATAAGGCAGGACAAGAAGCAACGGATGGGAACTAACGAAAGAGAGAAGCAACCTAGAACTAAGGAGAAACTTCCTGACAGTGAGAACAATTAACCAGTGGAACTCCTTGCCTCCAGAAGCGGTGAATGCTCCAACACTGGAGGTTTTGAAAAAGAGACTGGACAGCCACTGGTCTGAAATGGTATAAAGGGTTTCCTGCCTGAGCAGGGGGCTGGACCAGATGACCTCCAAGGTCCCTTCCAACTTTATTACTATTATTATAATAGGTGGAGGAGAGGAAAGGAATAGGAGAATAAGGAGGAGGAAGAGGAGAAGTAAGGAGGAGGAGGAAGAGGATGTGGAGGAGAGGTAAGGAAGAGGAGGAGAGGAAAGAAGGCAGGAGGAAGAGGAAGATGAAAGAAGGAGAAGAGGAAAGGAAAGGTAGAGGAAACAGGAGAAGAAAGAAGGCAAAGAAGGAAGAGAGGAAAGGAGGAGAAAGGTGGAGGGAAAGGAAGAAGACAGAAAGAGGAGGAGAAGAGAGGAGAGGTAAGGAAGAGGAGGAGGAGGAGGAGGAGGAGAGGAAAGAAGGCAGATGAGGAGAGTAGAGGAGGAAGAAGATGAAAGGAGAGGAGGGCAGAGGAAGATGAAAGGAGGAGAAGAGGAAAAGAGAGGAGAGGAGGAATGGAGGAGGAGGAGAAAGAAGGAAGAGGAGAAAGAATTATCCTGGGGAAGGAGGTGTGCTAATGATAGGAAGAGTGAGAGATGGACACCGTCCTGAGTTAGACGAATCTAAGGAAGCACAGCTCTTGCTGAGGACCTGCCTTCTGCCCTTTCCTAGGCCGAGTCCCGGACGCTGACCGTGTTTCGTGGGCTGGCTCAACAGGTGCAGCTCTCCTGCTGGACCCTCCTGTCCCAGCTCCAGGGTCTCCCCGCCACCATCCAAGACAAAGCCAGGCTGATCTGGCACCCAGTGGAGGGCCTCAACCGATCTTTTTCGACCGCCCATTCCTTCGAAGAGGTGCCCTCCACTGTATTGGCCCAGAACTGCCAGCGGATCGCCATGCCCCGGGGCTCGGTGGACGAGATCGTGGACTACGTGGTGCAGAACGTCCCCCTGCCCTGGGTGGTGGGGCCGTTCGCCCCCAGCTTGGTGGAACGGCCTTACGCCTGGGGCGTGGAGGGGAACGAGGAACGAGACGCCCCCCGACGCAAACGCCGTGCGGAGCCCAGGAAGGGAGCAGAAGGAACCTCTTTATAGAGCGTGGAAGGACACGAAGAACAGGGGTCTTCAAACTTGGCCCTTTTATGACTGGTGGACTTCAACTCCCAGAATTCCTCAGCCAGTACAGGGGAACTATGGCCCTTTCATGACTT